AAAAGTTAAAAAAAATTAACAATAAAAAAAGGCCAAGACTGTAATATTCAACTTCTATTGTAGAAAAGCCCATTGCATTGTTAGCATCTAATTAAACTCTTACTTAATTTACAAAATGGAGTGACAGAAAGCTGTCCAAGGGATCAGCATCATGAAAAAACTCATAGGAGCCTCAAAAATAAACACCTAATAAAAAGATTTAAAAGTACAGTGAATGCTGATCCCCAAATGGGGTTATGGATCAAAATTATCTGGGGGACTTAAAAAAAAATCAGGTTTTAGTCCAAATTTCTTGAAACAGAATCTTGAAGGTGGTAGGGGAGAAGAAATGATGGCAGAGATTGCTTCTCCTCCCCCAGGTCGAATTCTTATGTAGTCAACTGGGCAAAACTCTGTGGTTAAGCATTTGTGAAACACTGTATAATGGAAGGTACACTGGACAGGGAATTAAGACATTTGGGTTCCAATCAGACCTTTGCCACCAATTAATCTGGGATAATTCACTCAACCTTGATAAATTGCAGTGTCCTCAATGATGGGCTTCTTTTCTAGACAATTTCTCCAGTGACTTACAAGGTCCATTTGTACCTAATATCTAATGATTCTATTAGTTTTATCTTTCATGAATTCCTAAAGCAAATCTCTACTATAGGAGTAAATAAGCAATAAAATGATTAAGTAAAATAGAAAATTAAGCTGTATCCACAATAAAATCCCCAGCACAGGACTGAACTGTGTGCTGCACCAGGAATTTGTGCATGTATATACAAGTTTTTACTGGATCTGTCATCTAGATTATATCCACCAATGGTCAACAAATTAGAAAACTCTGTGACAATGCACTGGTTCTTACCATTTCAAAAGTATGTAACCTCTTGTACCCCTAAACTTTAGTACAAAAAATTTGCAAAGGCACAATGTATTTTCCAGTCTTTCTCAAACACCATTTTAATGTTTTACTAGTTCCTCCTAATCAGAGAATTATCTACATCAGCAGAATTATTAATTTCCTGATCACTGGCTTTAGTCATCACATGTGTATGCTGCATTTATGCCCAGATTTATATTCCTATATAATGGTATCTAACCAAAGTGTCTACAGTGTGGTACAAAAGAGAAACTCAATAAATGTTTGTTTAATTAATAAAAGAAGCAAGGAAAGAAGGGAAGGAAAAGTAAGAGGTAAAAGGAAAGATGTTGGGCTAATTTAATGAGGAGGGCTTATTTAACAAGGATAATGAAGTTTTCCACATCAGTGGGAACCACATGATCCATTCCCATTAGCTTATGAATGTGCCATAGATAGGCATTGTGTTGAGGTAAAAAGATATCCCTTTAATGTGAAACAAACAAACATAACATTGAGCAGAAGAACTTTCAGAATCAATTCTGAAAAGAATAGCTCACCTTTTTTTAAGCAGAGGCTTCCATTCACTGGTTTTCCCTCCTTGTTGACATCAATTTTCATCCAGCTATGGAGGTATTTCCTGTCCTTCTTGACCACTACCTTGGAGCCTTGTTTCTTGAGAAAGAGAGAGGTATTTTCCACCTCAAGGAACCCTTCCTGCTCATGGCAAGTCCATCGGGGTGCCTGGTAGCAGTGGGTAGAGACAGCTGGTAGGGAAGGGCCACGAGAAGAGCTGGAGATGCCCAGGCACAGAGCAGATTTAACATGAAGGAGTTTTCCATCCTCAGTCCACATCCACTGCTGGTTCTGGCTGGTCCCATTGCACAAACCCACCACCACTCTCTTATTTTTGGAAAGGCACTCTTGTTTATGGACATGGACAATCTGAAACCCCTCTGGAAGATGAGATACTCATAAAGTACTATGTAGAAAATTATAAGGCCCATCAGAAAACAAAACATCCCACCCGCAAATCAGTCCAGTGAAAATACAAGGTTTACTTGTCTTTTGCTATTACTATCATTTCGAGCGAATAGTCCCAGATTCAACACACGTGATTTAAAATCCCAAGGCTGACATTGTCAAACGGTTAAAATGTCATCCTTCGCTCCCTTTCTTTTACTTTCACATGGTTTAGGGAAGAAAACACACTCCCACTGAAATAATAAAAGGAAGCTTGAAAAAGACACCAAACCATCCAAAGAATATGGTGTGATATTTTAGCCCAATTATTAAATATACTGAAGTTATAAAAAGCTCCATTCCCCTTTTGACCATTATACTCTTTCCATCTCATCCCCATCCCCCATTCTAAAAAAGCGCCCCTTTTTCCAATTCTTAAGTTAGCACTGCAGTATTTGTACACAAATTACATAGTTTGGATACGTGTTTAAAAATTAGATGTATTCATCTCAAAACAAAACAAAAATAAAACAAAATTTCCCACCCCTCTAAACCGTCTTAGCTAATAGTGACCAGTGAACGTATTGATCACAAATACAATTTCTTACAGTCCTGGAGAGAAGCATTTCTCTATATTGTGACAATCTCTGCAAGTTTCCCTCAAAACTGATAGACTAAAAAAACAAAACAAACAAAACAAAAAAACCCAGCATTTCTTGACCAAAAAAAAAAAATTAAACATCCAATTATTAAACATCAGTATTAAAAAGTGAAATGTTCAGGATCAGAAACCATTTTCTGAGCTTTTACTTAATTTTCTCTACTCTCCCATGAAAATATTCAGACGTTCCTTCCAAATAGCAACTTCCAAATAAAACACACCTCACTTCTTCACCCCCTTTAGTTATATCTCCTTATATTTTCCTTCTTTAACATACACAAAAAACAAAACTATAACCTGATAAGGAAAAAACATGGAGAATGCCACAGACTGCCACATAATAATCAGTTTCTCCTCAAGGTGCTTCACTGTCTCCTATAAAGATGCCATTTCAGGAGCTCTCCGAGTTATTAGGAGGCCATTTATTTTCTTTCAGAGAAAAGTCTCAGCAGAGTGGACAGAGCTGGCTCTTTTTATTCCCCCTCCTCAACGTCTTTGGTTAAACTGCCATGGAGACCTGGCTCCATTTCCACCTTATTTCAGACACTTCAAAGGACAGAGACTCCTCTGCTGGCTGTTGGAGAAATGCCCCAAGGGAGGCAAGCCTACTCACCTGAATTCCCAAAGATTAAGCAGGTAAGAATCGCCATGTAAAATTCAGCCTCCATTTTCCACTTAACAACTGTTCATGCTTTGCTTGAGGGGAAAAAAAATCTCCCAGATAAGAGAAGCAAAGACTAGGAAGGAAATGTGCCTTCATGGTGGGGGGAAAAAGTCAGTGACGAGCACTTCCTCCTATTGAATTGTTTGGGGAAGTTTTACACCAGTGTCCTTTTGTCTGTTTCCTTAGAAAGAAGGGATTATGATTACCTCTCCTTTTTTTATGTAGAAAAATTCTGACCTCCAGGAGCAGAATAAAACTTGTAAGTTTTCTCCTACATCTCTTTGGCACATGACTACTTCTTAGCCTCAAGAAGGAAGAAAGGAATTGTAATCTTAGTTAATTGAATGTTCCTAAAACATTACATCTCTTCAGGTGATATTGATTCTGCTGAATAAACACAAGTCATGTAATTTATGAGGGCCTATGACAAGTGATATAAAGATGTAAACATGTACCGTTTGTATAATGATATGCTGGGAGCCTATTGAGGAAAACCACATAATGATGGTACTTCTAGATCATTATCCTTCAAGTGATGACAATATTCATTTAGAGACAGTTATCTCCACTGGGGAGAGGCAGAGACTAAAATTAAACCCATCTTATTACCTACTCCAGGCTTCCCCCAAAAGATAAGAGCTTCTTCCCAAGAGGAAAAAAAAGCAGATGTTTTACTCAATACTTAGTATTAAGAGTAGTTTATTGGCAGTATGAAACAAAGTCAACATAGCTGCATTGAAAATTCATATTTGGGCAGAACATCTAGTGTTTGCTGAGTGCATTTTTTAAACTTTATTTGTCTCTTGAGGATTAAAACCTTTCAGAAATTTAAGAATATCCATGGCAGCAACCTTTTGGAGAACTTCTGGAAATGGGACAGTTTACTTCATTCCCAAAGGGATCTGCCTTTTTTTTGGGGGGGGGAGGGGAGAGAGATTCTAGGTAGACAGAATATTCAAAAATTCCTTCTTAGTAAAAGAGACACAGATATTTAAAATTCTTGATACATCATAGTTGCTACAAATTTGTTTTTCCCTTTTAAATTAAAATGACTCACAATGTAGAAATACAGTGGCTGGAGTTTTGGAGCAGAAACCACCTCTATGTCCAATAATAGAGAGTAAATACATACACACCCAGTGACAATCATTGTGCTCTGTAATTGATTGACAGGAGGTACTGATAAATACACATTTATAGGTAATATTATCAAGACACATTTCCATATAAAATAGTACTGCTTTTGATTTTTTTTTTTTTTCAAAAACAAGGACTTATTTGTGAAAAATCCATTATCAATCACTTGCGACCTTAACGGCAAGATTCTGGTAACTGAGAAAGGTAATAGCACTTAAAACAGGAACAGTTTAACAGCTGACAGTCCATTCACAAGACAGATTTTGCAAACATTAAAGCATCTAAGCACATAATAATAATTTCTTCAGCAGCTTCTCCAGTTGTCATCTGATGACATATATCACCGAGTATTTCATCCGTACATTCTGTGTGGCAGGTAGTCAATACAGACAAAACAAAAGTCTCCTTAGCTGTGTGAGAAATCTATCATACCTCCATCAGCATAGGACCTTCAAAATAACTTAGGGGATGCTTACAAATGCATTCATATACACAAGAGGCTGGCAATCTTTAATTGTGTTGCCATCTTCCACAATCCGTGCCACAGCTTGGCTTCAGGACTTCTCTTTTCCTTCCATTGCAGGAAGTTCCTTCCAGAAGCCTCAGGTGGGTAATTGATTAACTACCCCTGGAGATTGATGGTCTGGTAAATCTTCAGAGAATCACTGGACAGTTTCTGCTGAAAGTCTGCTCTCATACAGGCACAGAGCATGATGTACAAATTCATACTGCTCACTAGTTTGGACCATTCCACCCCTATAAGAAAGAGAATACAGTAACTTCTTATTGCTAACGTCCTGCAGTCTTAAGAGACTATATCCAAGCTAGGGTATTATGCCAAAGACACAGAACTGTTGACCTGGTGAACTTAATATGCTAATGTATATAAGGAGATTATCACAGTGCTTGGTATACACTAGACGCTTAATTAATTTTTGCTACATACATTACCGGGGAGGTGGTACTGCCTACTGGGTAAGTACTTAGATTTTCGGACCACCCAGGCTGAGTTGAAATCTCTCCTATACCAATTCTTAGCTGTGTGATCTTGGGCACGTTCCTTAAAACCTTTTATGTTTCGGGGTGCCTGGGTGGCGCAGTCGGTTAAGCGTCCGACTTCAGCCAGGTCACGATCTCGCGGTCCGTGAGTTCGAGCCCCGCGTCGGGCTCTGGGCCGATGGCTCGGAGCCTGGAGCCTGTTTCCGATTCTGTGTCTCCCTCTCTCTCTGCCCCTCCCCCGTTCATGCTCTGTCTCTCTCTGTCCCAAAAATAAAATAAACGTTGAAAAAAAAAAAAACCTTTTATGTTTCAGTCTCCTCCTCTGTTAAAGTGGAATGATAGTACCTATTGCATAGGATTCTTGTGAGCGTTAAGTGAATTCATATATCTAGAGTGTTAGTATCACTTCTCAGGTGGCTTATAATTTATCTCGTGTTAAAATGGTTTATATACTTGGATTAAAGTTGAAGCAGGTTCACCAAACAAACTCAACTGTGAGGTGTTGCTCTTTGTACAAGTAGAAAGAACAACTATCCTGGAATGGTCTCATTGGGTATGTGATATAGAAACAATCTTTAGGTGTGGTATGCTGGGTATCTGAATACAATAGTGGGCGGGACTTTAAATGAGTTGGAAAAAGGGAATTGCTTTTTTCCCTTTGTTATCAACATTATCATTACTAGTTACTCAGGGTACCTTTTGTTCCTGGTTTAGTAGAAGGCAGCTACTTTCCTGAGAAATATTGATGATGCTTTTCATTATACTTCTATAGATAAATTAATTATATCACATTTTGCTCTTTATAATAACAGTTCTTTTACCTGGCAAAGCTACTGACAGTAATGTAAATGCTACTTATTGTTCCTGCTCACTGAATAACAGAATCACTGTTAGTAACTATTTGATGTCCTATAAAGTCTCTATAACCAATACAGTCCTACAACTGATTTCATTATTTCATTATTTATTTACTTATTATTGAGAAAGAGGGGGTACTAGTGTGTGAGGGGCAGAGACAGGGAGAGAGAGAGAATCCCATGCAGGCTCTGCACTGTCAGCGTGAAGTCTGAAGCAGGGCCGACCTCACCCCAGGTTCACCGGATGTGGGGCTCAAACTCATGAACCATGAGATGACCTGAGCCAAAGTTGGATGCTTAACTGACTGAGCCACCCAGGAGCCCCACAACCCATTTTAAAATTACGTTTTAGCCAGTTCTTCCAAGAGGTTGTTACCATTCAAAATAATTAATTCTCGGCCATGTAAGCACTTCAACTTTAAAAACAAGATAGACTACCTCAGTGTAATGTGATTGCTGGTTAATGGTAATAACTGAAACTGAGCTTGTATCTATGTTTACTTGTCAACCTCTGTAAATATAAGCTTACAAAACATTAAAATATTAAGCCTTCTCTCCTCTAAACTACGCAGTGATGTTATTAAGTGAGTGAGATTTCACCCTTCTAAATTAAACTAAGCAGGTTGACATGATGCCAAAATGATGTATTTGGCAAGAAACAAAGAGGTAAATTTCAGTGATAGCAACTTAATGGCAGAAGTATTTCATTGGTCTTTCCCCCCAAAACTATACATTTTGTTGTATTGAAGGCAACTTTCTGGCCAATGTGTTCCTTGGTCATAAGTTGACAACAGAAATGGCAAACTGAAGATGAGGTTTTTCTTCTTCTTCTTAGCTGGATGGTAACATCTGGGCCCACCTCAAACCACAGGAGGTGTCCAAAAGATGTTGGCTTTGGCTGTGATGCTTAAGAGACACAGCCATAGTAAATAGTAGGGCAGCTCCAGGAAGCTGAGAGGTACCTCCCTTCACCTGGCTTCACACAGCTCAGAGAACCATTAGTTTTCCCCCTTGAACTGCTGATGGTTCAATGTGGGGCCTTAGATGTGGCTCCATCTCTTAGGCTCTCCTCTATGAACTTCCTCTCACCATTTACCTCACTTTGAGGTAAGCTCTTCCCTTTCTTGTCTGTTCTGGTGAGCAATGGTATTTACGTGTCCAACTGGTGAATGAACAAAGACATGGTCCAAGTTTTCATACCCATGTTACCCCCAAGTGGGTCAGCAGCATATCTTCTTGCTCAGAGTATATCTTCTATGACATTCTGTTAACTAAGTCAAGATTGTTTCTGCCAGCAAGTATGGGGGAGATGGGGAAACAAACTGATTAGGTGTAGGCTAGCAAAATCTTGTGGGTATGCAGGTTTAAGGAAGGTATATGAGAAATTATTACTTCCCACCTAATTTGGAAAGCATTTTCAGCAAAGTGATTCAATTTATGCCAATTGCTGGCACAATGTAGGCTTTCCAGAAGGGAGCAGTCTACAGTATGGCATATGGTCAGCTAGTTTCTGCTGGAATGCTCATGGGGAGGTGAGAGGTCTTAAGAAGCAGCCTTTCCCAAAGTTGCAGGAAAGCTTCTGAAGAGAGAAAATGAATCTGCTCCTATCTAACTTTCACCCCATTGGTTGAACTGAAATAACCCCCAAAAAAGTCTAAAGACTCCCTCTCGTAGTCACACAATAGCTTTCTAAATGCTGGAAAACAACCATCAAAGTCCCGTAATCTTTTCTTCTCTAGACTAAACATCCTGTGGTCCCTCAATATTTCTATAAAGTTCGGTTTCCCGGTCACCCACCAATCTAGTCTCCTTCATGTATAGGCCATTTTATCAAAGATGACCTTCTTACTGTGTTGTGTCTACTCCCGACAGGATCTAGTCACTGGGAATATTTTCTCCTTTGAGCTGCATGTCATAGGCCAATGAGCTTGCATTTGCAGGTACATCAGACGATAAGATCTCATGGTACCCATCTGGTGCCTGGTGCCCAACAACACTTTTAAGATATTGAGGGAAGGTTTGGGCTTATGAAGTCTGCAGGATTTTTTTTTGTTTGTTTGTTTTAATTTTGAGTGTGAAAGTTACAGTTTGCTCTCATCCTGTACTTAAGCTATTGACTTTTTGAAACTAAGTACAGGATTTTCTAATCAGTCCTATTAATTTCAACTTGTTGGTTTCAGCACAAAGTTTTTATTTACTGTCATCATGATTTCTATCATTCAATATATTAACCTTTCGTTTCTTACTCCCAGCATTATGTCTTCCAGATATTTAAGAAGCATGCTTTATTTCTTTTTAACTGTCATTCCTAATGGAGGAGGAAAAGACCGGGCCAAGGTGGGGTCTTTATTATAAGTAATTTGATATCATGTGATATACTGTCTATCCCATTCCAAAATTGTTTCTAAGTTGTAGGTCCTTTAAAGATAGGCATAATGTTATAGCCTTCTCATATTTGCAACAATGAAAAGTACTTCCTAGTCTTAAGTGAATGCCTGTCATGTAGATTACTCAGGCCATGCTATTTTCATGTCATATGAAAGCAGATAAACTCTGAGCTAAAAGAAGGCAAAGGGCATTGCAGGATGCATTCACTGGAGTCTGGCTCAAATTCAGGAACTCATCACAAGTATCTCTGAAAATATTTGGTAAATATCTAATTGCATATATTGGAATATAGAATACTCTGTTGATCTTTGTAAGAATTTAAAATTTAGGATTACCATGCAGATTTTACACAGTCTTTTTATAGATTAGCCACGGTAAAAATAATACCCAGAAGCTAATGTAGTGCCTGCATGCAAAATGCAGTTATACGATAAGTGAATAATGCTAGATTATACAGAACCCTCAGGAGAGCTCTGTAATAGTTCATCCTCTAGGAGAGCTCTGACTTGGTTGTTAGGTACCTTTCAGGTCAGACAGGGCTAGATGGACTTGCTGAAGTCTGGATCCATACAGTGATGTACAGTTTATTTTTTAAAAATGTTTTTATTTATTTTTGAGAAAGAGAGTGTGAGTAGTGGAGGGGCATAGAGAGAGGGAAACAGAGGATCTGAACTGGGCTCTGCGCTGACAGCAGCAAGCCCGATGTGGGGTATGAACTCATGAACCCATGAGATCATGACTTGAGCCGAAGTTGGGCACTCAACTTAATGAGCCCCTGAGGTGTTCCCCACCCCCACCCCCCAACCACTGATGTAAAGTTTAAAACACATGCTGGTCTTTGAAGGTAAGAAGCAGGGATGCTCTTTTCATTTCTTTAAAAATCATCCTCCAACTCCCTTTTAAAGAGCAGGCACTGGGGGCACCTGGATGGCTCAGTTGGTTGAGCTTCCAACTCCCAATTTCAGCTCAGGTCATGATCTCACAGTTTGTGGGATCCAGCCCCCTGATGGGCTCTGCATTGACCGCATGGAGCCTGCTTGGGATCCTCTCTCTCCTTCTCTCTCTGCCCTTCCTCTCAAAATAAACAAATAAACATTTAGGGGTGGCTGGCTGGCTCAGTCAATAGAGCATCTGACTCTTGACTCTTGGTTGTGAATTTGAGCCCCACGCTGGGTGTAGACATTACTTAAAATAAATAAATAAATAAAAGTCTTTAAAATAAAAGGAGAAGAGCAGGCACTAAAATAATCTTTGGCCCCCAGGAGATCATAGTTTAAACTCAACCAAGGTGGATTTTAAAAGACTTCCATGCTGATCAATATGATGCTTCAGTGGAGAAGGCCTATGGGGCCCAAAATAGATGGACCATTGTGAATCAGGCAGCATGCCCCACCATTACTTAATACATTGTTTTAAAGCATCATGTCTCCTGGAGAATCTTCTTTAGGTACGAAGCTACTTCCCAGAGTTCCAGTTCCCAGATCAAAAACAAACAAGGTTCAATACCTACTG